AATTTAAGTACTCACTTCCGGTATCGAAAATTGAAATTTTGTGTTCATTTTGGTATCGAAATAGGTATCGGTATCGACCGATACCGATCTTAAAAGTATCGGTATCGGTATCGAATTAAAAATCCTGGTATCGCCCATCACTACTCAACAGTTGGCCTCTGTAGCTCGGTTAGAGCGCTGCACCGGAGGACCGTAGGTTCAATTCCTACCAGAGGACCTTGTGCTGCATTTTTCGCAGTCGTTCCTGGTCAGGTCTTAAAGTGTATATTTATACTCACTTGGATTACAAACCCCTAAAAACAGCATTCTAAGAATAATGGGACCAGAGGACTGGCTACGTACGTCACTGCGTTCAAGGGTAGGATTAGGTTATAGGATTAAGTCTGGATTAAGGGTTGGGATTAGACTGTATTAGAATTAAGATTAAGATAAGACCTTGCTGTCAGGCCGAGAGCCAAGGATCTCATTGCAAGGATCAGACTGGATATGGAAATTAGACTCGATTTGCCGTGTCGTGTTTTTCTTGTGCCACGTATTATTATGGTCCTTTAATTTGCCATAATATCCCATATCACTTTGCAAGCTTCTTTACTTTCAAAATAAAAACAAAATGGCGTATCAAAGTTTTCAAGCAGAATACATGCAAATGCCCACGGTAACACGGGCTTATACAACCGCCTGCGTTCTCACAACTTTGGCTGTGGTAAGCCTCTTTCTTAAACTTTTAAAGTACACATTTGAAGCTATTGAAAAGTGTACATAAGTTTAATTTTAGTTGTACTTTTGAACGTTGTTGTGTTGCCTTTGCCACTCATACGGGTTTGATTCGTTTCTTTAGCAACTGGATATTATAACTCCGTTTCAGCTGTATTTTAATCCAGAGTTGATATTTAGACAATATCAGGTAAAATGCTCAGTTAAAAATACGTATTAAATGTTAAAAAATTAGTATGTACAATATATTTTATATGTTCGAAATTATGACTTTTCTATTTTTAGTATTATTACTAGAGTGTGTTTATAATTTTCTTATATTTTACTTGCTTTTGTTGTACAAAAATAAACTTCTAATATAAAAAAGGTCACTAATTTCAAATTGATGCAACCAAGGATAAATTTGACTGGAAAGTTTGGGAATTGCATGCCGGAGATTTCAAAAATTTAATAGTAAATATATAGAAAGCATCAAAATTGCGCGCTGGAGATATCCGCCGGGCGATACAAACTTTCCACACTGGCACCCCTCGATCTAGTTTTGGCAAGAGTTGGGGGCAAGGGAGGTGCCAATATCCTTATCAAACCCTTTATTTGATTAGGACAGGCACCACCCTTACCACCAACTAGACCCCTGATATTGAGAACCCCCCCCTGCTACCAGATCTGTCTTACCATATTAAAACTGACCCTTATTACATGGTCGTGTATGAGAAGGTGGGATTGTTATAACCATTGTGTGTCTACATTGTTATAATAATTATCTTTTTTTTCAGCTTTGGAGATTATTCACAAACTTCTTATTTTTTGGAACGATTGGATTTAATTTTTTATTTAATATGATATTTACATATCCTTTGTATATTTAAACAAGCTAGAACTTAATTTCCCTGCTGGCAGTCCCATATATACGAAACAGAAAATATGGGTTTGCTGAGCTGTACACATAATCATGTTCCTATACACTCCATTCTGAAAAGAAATTTGATTGTGCCATAGTATAGGTGTGCTAGAAAATTGCTTGTATTTTTGGCACATTGTATTTTTGGCACAAAAAAATATATTAGGTTTGATGCTTTACTTTGTGTTGGGAGAGAATTATAAGGCATTGAGAATTACAAAGCCCATGTCTTGTAAAAGTGGTATTAATTAACTTATTAACAAATTTAAATGTGACATGTAAAGCCTTGACTCTACGAAGATATCGATACTGCAGGATGTTAGAGGAGGGGTCGTTTCGTGGACGAACTGCAGATTTTGTATTTATGTTTTTGTTTGGTGCTTTTATTATGACCGTATCCTTTCTACCTTTATGTATGTATACTGGATATCTATGTGTTCTAAACACTATTGATCCAGTGTTATAACTAAACAGTATTGATCTAAACTGTATTGATCCACTATTGACCTTATTTATCCAGTGTTACTACAGGAGGAAACCTAAACTAAACTAACTTTATTTATACTGGATAGCTCTATCAGTTCTAAACTGTTCTTCCTAGACATCTCTTATTGATCCAGTGTTACTACAGGAGGAAACCTAAACTAAACCAACTTTATTTATACTGGATAACTTCTCCCTAGAGGTTCAGTAAAGGCCAGTGTTACTACAGAAAGAAAACTTCATGTGCTTTGCTGAGTCAAGTTTTAGGACCTGTAGTACTGTATATTCTGAAAGATCTGATCAATCAATTTCCTTAACAGTTTTTAGTTAATTTCATTGGGTATAAACATAGTATTTCTAGGCCAAGCCTTCACTATAATGTTGGTCTATATTTGGAGCAGACGGAATCCATATATAAGAATGAACTTCTTTGGTTTGTTAAACTTTCAAGCACCATATTTACCCTGGGTTTTACTTGGCTTCTCTCTGATGCTTGGCAATGCTGTGGTGGTTGATTTAATGGGTAAAAAAATCAATACTTTAAGTTAGAGATGGTATTAATGAGTGCGCTCTTGGTTAAAGTTGTTAAAGTGTGACCAACCCCAAATACGATTTTTTTTAATACCTTATTATAGGAAATTAACGATGCACTTTATTAACGCGGATTTTAAAAATTCGCGTTAATTTAATTAATGTTAATTTATGTGATAGTTAATTTTAAGTATGTAATTTTCATTTATCGTTAGTTAATTTGTTTTATATAACACTAACTCTTTTAATATCAAAATACAGCATATTAACGTAAACTAAAAACATCAGTGCTCCTCTTAACATTAAACCTTTGTTGTTGTTGTGTCTATATTTTCCGATTCGCGTTAATTTAATTAATTTGTCAACCATGGAGATCAGATTCGCGTTAATATAATATGCTTTAAAAGACCTAGAAGCAATCCGCGTTAATTTGATGTCGCGTTAATTTATGTCGCGTTAATAAAGTGCATCGTTAATTTCCTATAATAAGGTAAATATTTGGTTCATTTGAAGAAGAAATGTAAGGAATGCTGGTCTTGGTAGTCATCCAAAATGGCCACTATCCGGAAATTTTCCCGGGCGATGACTACTAAGACCAGCATTCCTCGCGGGTATCAAGCCTTGTGACGTCATTATGCATAAGGTCTATTATACTATAATCTATCACTGGGAAAATAATACAGTTTTGCTGAATCATGAGCCGTGACTTATTTCAATACCTCAGAACAATCCCGCATCTCGACCCAGCAAAGTAGGATCATGTACACAACTCCTGATATATTGGCGACTGTACTGCTAGCAGACATGACAATTTATTTTATTTAGGTATTGCAGTCGGCCATGTTTACTATTTCCTTGAAGATGTATTTCCAGGACAGCATGGTGGCTTCAAAATGTTAAAAACACCATCCATTTTGTAAGTTAGCAATGGACCTTTCACCTTTTGACTAAAATTTAGATTTCAACAAGCTAGACAAAAATTTTATCACAGCTTGAAAGAGCATCACAAAATTAGTAATATTCCGAAGTTTCGTTGCGAAATGTTGTAAAATGCGGATAATATAGCCTTGCGAAGTTTGCCGTTTTTCAGTCATTTTGCATTACAAACGGGAAATTGATAATCAGATGATCAAACTGATTATCAATTTCCCGTTTGTAATACAAAATGACTGAAAATGGCAAACTTCGCAAGGCTATATTATCCGCATTTTACAACATTTCGCAATGAAACTTTGGAATATTACTAATTTTGTGATGCTGTTTCAAGCATCACAAAATGGGCAAATATCACTTCCATTTTGACCAACTTTGACCAACGTTTGAATTATTGGGGGGGGGGGTGTTACACCCCCACACACCCCCTATAGCGACGTCCCTGCTAACACTAGATGTGCGCCTTGCCCAATAAGCTCTCTTTGATACATCTCGTCTTAAAATATGCCACGAATTACTCTGCTCTTCTTAACAGCTCATTTGTCACTCTTCTCAATGTCCAAAGAATCCTCGTTATTCTTCATATAAACCAGAACACGTTACTTTCTAGCTTAAAGATTCATTTAGTGTACCAAACTCTGCTTACCGTTAATCTTTATTCTTGTTTCAGAAAAACAATATTCGATGCTCCATCCGCAGATCCAAATTACCAACCAATGCCCGAAGATCGGCCTGGTGGATTTGATTGGGGCGCACGCGAGGAAATCGATCAGGACAATGAGAGATGATTGCAGAGGCTTTTGCCAGGCAACCATGTCTTCAAGTCCGATACCGTAGCATGTCGGGCGTCTAACATTGAACAGTTTCAGATAAAAACATTCTTACCAGAAACGTTCACGTTTGTAAGAAGCATTTGAAGGCCTTTTGTCGATTTCATATTACTTTTCAAAGCGTGGTTCCCAAGTTTGTTGCCAACTTGCCAATTACGTTTCCAAATTCGGAAGTTGGGCGGGAACTTCGCAACGAAGTTCGCAAGTTCATTTCAAAGTTCGAACTTGGATTGTAAACAAATGTAAAAATTTCATTTATAAATTTATTTAAAAAGGCATTTTTCGTCTTGGGAGACCACTGGACCAATATTTTACTGCAGTAATATGTGCATAGGGCCTTATACAGTAATTTCAACTCCAACTCCAACTATGAACATTTGTTTACAATCAAAGTTCGAACTTTGAAATCAACTTGCGAACTTCGTTGCGAAGTTCGCGCCCAACTTCCGAACTTGACAACGTAATTGGCAAGTTCGCAACGAACTTGGGAACAGCGTGTTGAAAAGTTACCTGAAATCGACAATAATTAGCTCCTGGTGTGACTAGTTAAACATGATTGGCTAACCTACTAACAGTTGTGGCGTCGTGTGTTCAGGGACGCCGGAACTGGGGGGGAGCAGGAGGGGCAGCTGCCCTTCTTGCCTTTTGCTAGGGGGGGGCAAGGGGGGCAGAAGTGCCCTTTTAGTTGTAAAATACTACCTTATAAATCACATTTCCAGTGATGTTTTTTCGGGCAAAATCATGAGATTCAGATAATTTATAGGCCCAGAGAAAGTTAATTTACAAAAATAAGTGTGAATTTGGAAAAGAATGAGATTAATTTACAAAAAATTTAGAAAAGTTTTGGATTTTAGAAAAAAATTTTGGATAAATGGAGAAAATTGCTGATGTCCAGAAAAAATTTTTTACGTCACGAAAAATTTTTGTATGTCCGGAAAAAATTTTTGACCCCTAAAATGGTACACTGACCGAAATTTTTTTGGCGACGGTGGGGGGGGGAGGTCGCCCAAAAAAAATTTCATGTAAAAAAAAATTGCAGGTAAATTTCGAACTTTTGATCTATAGAGGTGCCCTTTGGTGTGCGTCTGCTCCCCTTTGCCTTTTTATCGTTCCGGCGTCCCTGCGTGTGTTCACCACGCTTGCCTTCCCAAGCTGGGATGCGCGGGTTCAATCCGTGGTCAGACCTGTAGTCTTGACTAGTCTTAGAATAGTTTAGGAGAAAGAACTACGTTTACATTGACATCAGCAGATGGTTAGGCTTTCCCGTCTTCTCGCACAAGGACGGGTAAAATAAACTAATTGAAATCTTCAAATGTTCATTACAAAAATGAAACTTTCACGTGAGAATAAACGATGTTTTTATCTCATTAGATGCAAAGGACGGTAGTAAACTCTTGGCACCAAGCGAGTTTGAGTGAATGTAAGGGTACTTTACACTTTACCATACCGCAAGTATTTGATGGCGTGTGTTCTGACGGTTTTTCCGTTCTTTTATAGGAGTGTTTTCATGGCGTATGTATTCAGTGACTTCAACTTTCTTGGCAAAATTTTCGTTGAACGTTTTCGTTTCATATTTTCTTTCTTGCGTCGAAAGAATAATTATGTATTTCAGTTTTAAAACAGCAAGTTCACTTACTCTTCATTGCCTGATACCGTAAAATTGTTCTTTGCCTGGCGTTTGACGTATAACGCGAAACTCTCTATTACTCCGGTACGGTAAAGTGTAAAATTTCCGAATGTAATTTAAATTGAAGTCGTTTATAGTTGTATATAGTACATATAGTGTACATAATCTGGCACCTTATCAATTCCGCGCAAGTTGTACTGCAAACGCCAATATATAACAGATAATAAAAAGTGATAATATAGCCTGCTCCGCAGACTACGATTTAGTATTCATCGACAAAGGAAGATCAGAACAAGAATTGTATCTCTAATCAGTGCTGTAGAAGTGGGGGGTCGCTTGGGGGCGGAGCCCCCCTTCTTCAAACTCTGGGGGGGCTGAGCCCCCCTTCTACTTTAGAAAATCGAGAATTTATTATGTCACAGAGGAGATTCAGTCATCTGGGGATACTAAATACCGAATGTACTCATGTCCAAGAACGACAAGAGAAAACGTAACTTTCGTTCATTTACGGAGCAGAATCTCTGTTACAATCTCAACAAAAATATTTAGTTTTCATTTAAAAAACTCCAGCAGAATTAGTCAGACTTTTGAATTATTTGAATTAGTTTGGACTATCACAGACTTTTTAAAATACGTTAAGTTATTCCTTGCACATAATTATGTAGATTAGTTCAGTTTTCATTAGTACGTACGCTGGACAGGTGTTTGTTTCCATTTATTATTTTTTTGTTATGTATTAGTGGGCTCGCACTTTACAGAAAAAAACATTTCTAAGAAAGGTACGGACGATAAGTATGGAAAATGCAATTTAAATTACGCTTAAATAAGGCGTTAAATTTCGAAGAAAGAAATATATTCAAGGAAAATGTACTGAGCGAATAAATTTTACCCATATATAATGGCTTGCTTAAGAGTCGTTCAAGAAGTTTTTAAGAGAAACTAGCAGGTTTTATTGCATTTCCGGGGCTCTGAGAAGTCTCAGATTTCAAAATTTCCCGGACCTCCCAGTCTCAGAAGGCTCACGCCTTCGGCGTTCGCTAGCCCCCCCCCAATCAAAAAATGCCGCCGCGGTAAGGGCTATAGGTTTACCCCTGGTCATCGTATGGCTCACCCCTGGTCGTCATATGACGTCACGTATTTTTTACGATTCACGGCTTCACGCTCGTCAAGAGAGCCCCCCCCTCTGGTAAACTTAGTTCTACAGCACTGTCTCTAATTCACAGACGGATATAACGTAATGTTTGGACAAAGATTTGTTATATTTTATGTCATAGATGAGAACAACATTACGAGGTTACATCCCCCCCCCCCCAGTTTCTCCTTAATTTAGAAAGAATTACAAAATTGGTCCTGAAGAAAAGTAGGGGGAGGTCCTCCCTCCGGCTCCCCCACCCTCGCCGCGTGATACGCCTGTGGACGTCTATATGTGTCACTGGTAACGCGAGGTTTTATATTGTTGGGTAAAAAAATTAAATTTTCTCACTGATTAGCTCATCTAGTCTAAACCACAATCCATTGCAGTATCAACATGTCGTCTTTTGTCAAACGATATTCAAAGCTGTTGAATATACTTTCTCAGGGACGCCGGAACTGGGGGTAGGAGGGGCAGCCGCCCCCGTTGCCCTTTAGCAGGAGGGGCAAGGGGGGCAAAGGTGCCCTTTCAATTTAAAGGATTGCCTTGGCGAAATAGCGAATTGTCAGAAATGTTAGTGCAATTATTTTACGAATTTGATTCAGAAAACGAAGCTGATGCAGTCATCGAGCTTCAAGAATAGCACAATCGCCTGGCGGAGAACCCCCTCACACCCCTGTCATCCAATAAATAGAAAACATGATCAGGCGAAGATCAACTCCCGATGTTTTGCAAACATCTCTTAGTACTGCTATCAATTCAAAAGTGCCCTTTCACGAAAATCTGCCCCCTTGCCTTCACATCGTTCCGGCGTCCCTGTACTTTCTAACTTTTGCGCTGAAAAATGTTTTGCCAAGTGGAAGCTTTCGATCCCAGCATGCTTTGCGTGTCCCTCACGTTCGCCATCTTGGAAAAATATTTTAAATTTTTGAAATCGAGTTGTTTTCATGGCGTTTGGGAGACATATTTATAACGCTTTGTTTCGGCGGACGTCTACATTTGCTTTAACAATTGTCGTTGGTGCTGTGTTGTTTGAACGAGTGTTTGATCAAGCGCTAGATAATCATTATGAGAGGGTAAACCAAGGGGTATGTATACCGTATCAGCAGACTTTGCATCAATATGTATATATTCTGAATTTTCAAGTATACGAGCAACTGCCTCGTTTATTTAGATGATACCTTCTATTTTGTTCCTGAGATAGTTAAGTTCATGAATTAAAGTTGACCTGGATAATGGAATGAATATATTGTGAAACGGGTCATATATATTTAATAAGGAACAGGGTAACCAGGTAAATGTGGTCTGTCATTAAGGAACAAGTGGGAGCAGTTGTTAGTGGTCATCTTCTGAAATCTCAATTTTTTGTTATTTGCCACAAACTACTTTATACAACTTGTATAATGAAAACAATTGACATCACTTCCTCTCTGATAACTACAGGTTGACCGCAAATGCGCACCATCACAGACGCCAAGAGTCTCGATTTGATGCGTGAGACTCTATTTTATGCTTTCACAATTAAGTCCCCAAATCTCCGCGATTTTAAATAAAATCTCTGCTAAACCATAAGTGATTGGGTGTTCCAGAAAAGATCCATACCCCCCCTACGGAGGAAATCGAAAATAACCCCCTCCCCCCCTTCGGACATCCTTGAATGGTTCATCCTCCCCCCTCTCCGGACATCAAAGTCCAAAATTACCCCCCTCCCCTTTGGACATCCACTATTCCTAATTTTTTCTAAAGGCTACCTCGCCGTTTGAAAACGTCACCGAAAATTAGACTGCGTTCACACTACGCGCAAGCGAACTAATGCAGGCAGAATTTACGTGTGTTCACACTACCGCCATTACAGTTTGTTTACAAATTGAATTAGCACTCGTGTAAACCCAAAATCTTTCAAATAGACCCAAGAAATTTAACTGAAAAGCATTCGAGTTTACACGTCGGTGTTCACACGAAGCTATCAAGCGCTCCGCCATTTTCACCATGCTCCGTTTAGAAACCGTGCTCAAATTGTTACGGCAAAAGTGACGTGAAAGTTTTAAACAATTTCGCTCCAGCGTAAAGTGAATTAGCGATGGCTTATTGTGACTTTTCTACGCTGTTTTCAAATAGCTCCGGCGTGGCGGAACACTTGGCGACTTCTTGTGACTTGCGAACACAAACACATGGCAGGTTTTGTCGGATAATTTGGAGAAATCCACTTTGAAATTCGTTCAAGTAAAATTCGGACTGAAATTCGATGTAACTTACGACTGATTGACAAGCGTTGCTATGTTTACTTAATTTTTTAGTATTACTGCATTCCTTAACCTCGCCCTTAATATGAAAGCCATTTCTATTTTCTAGACACGCACCTCGCAACAAAGCTTTAATGACTATATACTAAAAAACAAATTGTTTCGAGCAACAGTTTAATAACTTTTATTTTTAACACTTGAATAATTCAAACTTATATATACGAACGAAAACTGCAAACTATATAAATAAAGCGTGTCAATTTTCGACTCATTCTCAACATACAGGATACGCTGTTACAGCGAGTTAGTTTTTGGTGGCCATGCATGCAAAAGTGGGCCGCTTATTTTGCTTACAAGTTACGTGGACGTAAAATTATTGCTGTTACATAAACGTTCCGGTGTTCAAGAGCTACATATAGCCGATAAAAATTGTGTGCTCATTATAATCACCAATCACATAGCTTTATCACAGTCTCAAACCTTCAGACAAACATATCCACATTCCTCTCCCCCCCTTAGGACATCCTAAGACATTTTTCCTCCCTCCCCCTTCGGACAGCAAAAATTTCCTCCCTGGGGGGGGGGTATGGATCTTTTCTGGAACAACCCATTCCAAACACCCATGGAAAAAAGAAACTTTCGAATTTTGTGAGACTTGACACTGGAAGCTGAAGCCATAAAGAAAAAACTATTTTTAATCTTAAAGCCTTGTATTACAGTTATATTGACAAAATATAAATGCATACTATCCTAAGATTGAATATCTGTTGATTATTTTCTGGTGTTGTTAAAGTTAACCCTGGTCATATTAATGAGCAAACCTGAAAATTTCTAAGTCTCACAATTTTTCAGTCAATCTCACGACTTTTTAGATAGCAACTCACTATTTCTGCTAATCAAGGGTTGGCAGGTCTGCCATCATGGTTAGTGAAACCAACCTGTTGATCTTGGTATCTGACTTGACATGCTTTAGATGAGGTCATAAAGTATCTCTAAATAATTGTTTGAACTTTTATAATATTTTTGTAGAAATTATGGAAACATATCAAGCATAAATATGAGACAGTTGAAGAAGATGAGTAACAAGGAAAATGGATTAATCATGTGTATCTAACGAAGAGACAAACTAGTAATAATGAAAATTTTATAAAGTTCAAGACTTAAACAGACTTTATTTTGTTATTTAATAAGAATTGCGATAAACTTTAAGAAGTTGTTTAAGTGAAAATGTTTTTGTCAATTATGTGAAAAATACTTTTATGAAAATTATAGCTGATATTTGAGCTGTTTTATACTGTAGAGTAATGTTTCTATTCTTTCTTTCTTAAGTGGGGAGTTTATATCAATAGGTGACTTTCAATTATTGCATCAGAGAGCAGCTGATGGTGGTCAGCTTCAGAAATGTAGATTCTTGTATAAATTAACCCATTGAGCCCCAATGTGCCCCAATGCGCCCTGCATCTTTTTACTCGTCTAACGTCAGTTAATTTTACTCATCAATGGGGAAACCCGCAGCTTAATGGGTTAACAAAAAAATCTGACAATGTGTCTAGTTAACCCATTGAGCTGCAATGCTCCCATGTGTGTGCCATACTTTTTTTTTACTCGTCTAATGCCAGACAATTTTACTCGTCAATGGGGAAGCCCGCAGCTTAATGGGTTAAACAACATCTTTCAATAGGCCTATTCTTTTTATTTGCCTCCAAATGCAAGCCTACTACATATAATGAAAAGAACATTCGCTCACTCTGATAAATGCGGGTTGACCTGTCACCAGTCAGTGACCACCATTGCTTGTTAAAAACAAAACTTGTATAAATGAGAAATTAAATTGGACCAAGTATGGTACTGTTGAGGTTACCCCTGTTATTACCAGAGCCTCTTGTGATAGAAGTGAGGACATAAGAGGCTCTTGGTACCCAGGGTATGTTGAGGTACTCCAGAGGCTGAATATTTTACCTTTGGTTATTCCCCTAGAGGGAGGGCCGAGGGGGAGAAAAAGAGACACCAAGTTTAATATTCAGGGGGGGGGGTGTATTTGAAAGAGGTTTGAAAACCTTGTGGCTTCAAGTGGAAAAATTAGCAATATTCAATTGAGGAAATTTGCATTGTTTATTTTGATTTGTACTTTGCTCTATTGATATATAACTTTCAAGAATGTCATTCTCATGTTACAAAGTGTTACTATTTAGAAATATTTTTGGAAAGACTAAATTTCCAAGATTTTCTGTTGTTTCTCCGAGATATTTATCGTTTGGGAACCAGGTTGAACAATACGCAAAAGACGGTGCTGTTTGCTTACGTGGCTGCTTTAGTCAACGTTGGGTTGACACAGTCAAACGGGGTATACAGAAAGTGTTTGATAATCCCAGCAAGTATTCGGAGAAAATCCCCTCGGATAGTGGGAAGGGTGTTTATTTTAATGATTATCTTCAATGGAGAAATATAGAAGAATTTCAGGAGTACATCAGAGATTCACCAGCCCCTGAAATTGCAACAACATTTTTGCAAGAAGAGGTATTTGGTATTTAATTGAGTGTATTCGGTCTGATAAAAGCCCAAAAGGGTTTCTGAAAGATCTGTAGCCCTACGTATAGATTATAAAAATGTAGATAGTTAAATTTTATTGTTATTTGGAAAATTGGGCGAAATAAATAAATAAACTATATATAATCAAAATTCCTCGTCAGCATTTAGCATGAGTCGTCGTGGCATTTAACCCCCTTGACCCCTGTGCAGCCTAGTCCCTAGGCTTCTTAGTACGCCTATTTTGCGTTTCTGCATATTAATGAGGTGTTTCGCTCGGTGACGTCACGCAAATCAAAAGCGTGCACAGAGGACTTGGGACTAGTCTGACCCTTGTGAAGGCAAGCAGGGGTTACTAATAATAGGGTGTGGTCATGCAGTTTGGGTGGAAGTAAATGGAACACCCAACATTTAAAAACTGGTGTTAGGCAAAATAAAAAAACAGAATGTAGAATGTTAAAATTTTGCATTAGAGCACATAGCCGTCTTTGCTGCATTAACAAATGGGTAAATATTGAAGTCTGTTTATGCTTGCAGACTGCAGTGGCCCTCTGCCAGTGCTGGCCCGAACCTGCATTGGGAAGTTGTCCAGAAGTCATGGACATGTGATATGATGTTTTGTATTTCTTAGGAGGTAGCCTTCTACCATGAACATGTTTTTATAAAAGAAAGTTTCAATGAAAGTGCAACCCCCTGGCATCATGACCAGTCATATTATCCAATTGATGGTTGGCAGGTACTGTACTTTACTGAACAGGAAAATAAGTAAATACTATTTATCACAGGGGGCAAAGCAGCGATAGGAAGAATTTAAACTTGTTAACAATGATTCCAGTACAGACTGTAGAGTGAGCATCGGCAATGGACATTAGACAAGTGATGCTATTGCTACAGTGCACAATGCAGTAAAAATTATTACCACTGGGAATGACATAACTGTACATACTCCCCCTCCACCCCCAACCCCTTTCCATGCAAATTGCTAACATTAATTTGTCTTTGTCATAAAGTTGTGTGTGCGAAAGAGAAACTCAATTTATAATTACAGAGAAAATAAGGAAAGGAATAGGCTATTCCAGGCTATAGACTAAATTTTGATCTAGGCACTGAAGAACAAAATCCATCACCACAGCTAGAAAGAGCATGTTGAAGTTAGTACAATTGCAAAGTTTGGTTGCGAAATGTTGTAAAATGAGGAAAATATAGCCCTGTGAAGTTCGGCAAAGTTTTTCAGTATAGATTTGTATTACGCGCGTGAAAAATAATCACTTTCGGCTCAAAAATGGTTATTTTCACGCGCGTAATGCAAATATATACAAAATTTGCGAACTTCATAGGGCTATATTGTCCTCATTTTACAACATTTCGCAACCAAACATTGCAATCTTACTCATTTTAACATGCTATTTCTAGCTATGGTGATGGATTTTGTTCTTCTTGCCTACAGTAGATCAAAATTCAGTCTACAGCTGGAATTGCCTATTGCGGCAGTAGTGGAAAACAGGAATAATATCTTATAACTATTATCTCACCCCTTTAATATAAAATTTTAAAAAACCCATAAAAATACGTATACATTTATTTTACCCCCATATATATTAGAACTGTTCTATATGGATGCCAGTTACGCCTGTTGAGGCAAAAACCATGCAGTTCATCAAAGGGTCTCACAAATGGGGCAAGTGGTTTGCTCCGCGATATTTCGAGACTGCAGAAAACTACAATATTGAAAAGGATGGAACTGAAAGACATTATGAAACAGTGCCTGAAATAAATGAAGAGCAACACGAAATAGTATCTTGGCAAATGGAGGTAAATTAACTTTTTAAAATTTTGCCTGGACTCTGAATATTCAATACGCATTGACAATGGAAACATTGTTTACTAGTAGCCATAATGATATTCCAAAGTAGGCTAAGAAGCCAGAAAATCAAGCTCTGCTCTCAGGGTAAGCCAGAACAGAAAGCATTTGTCAAAAACGTTATCTCAAAAATAAATACTGCGAGAAGCCAAAGGTCTAAAGCCTTGGGCAAACTATGAAACATTGTTGCGGAAACATTGTGATTCTGTGTTTGCCCACCCGTGGAAACATCGTTGCAGAAACACAATTTGCTTCCCGAGAAGCAGAAGTGTTTCCTATCAAATTCAGAAACATTTCATGTTTCCCAAGTGCGATTTTTGTTTCCGCCTAGTGTTTGCCCACCTTGGGAAACATGGCGAAACATTGCCATGATTGGCAGGAAACAATGTTTCCGCAACAATGTTTCCTAGTTTTCCCAGGGTTTTATAGTCTGTCAACTTATCAAACTTGATTTCCATCTGTTTAGCCTGGTGATTGTCTAGTGTTTCACATGAGAGCAGTACACGGAAGCTACACTACCAATACGTCAAGCACTTCTCGCCAGACACTAGTTACACGATGGTTAGGGAGTGATGCAACTCTGGCAAGACGGCCTTGGAAAACTTCACCGCCTGTGAAACCTAGTGATATTACGTTTGGTGGTCTTGTGAAAAACAGTCAAGATTTCCCTGTATATTCTCGCGTAAGCAAACGCTATGTCGACGGGTTTCAGTAAAACCTGGATCAAAAAGAGGATTTAAAAAGACCCTGCGTATTTCAAAATAATACTCGATAGACCTTACCGGCGTTTATTCATTTTTTACCCAATGGCCTCGTTTTTGTGTTTGCCAGTTTGGCGCACATGAAGGTTATATTCCCACAAGTGTTTCCTTCACGATTTGGTTCCTCGTTGATCTTAAGCCCAATAACAAGTACGTTCTTTGAGTTCTTAATCATATTGTGCACGAAACACGAGTAAATACCTGACACAAAAACGAGGCCATTGGGTCAAACGTCAACAAACGGTAAGTACTAAGGTCTATTTCAATTCATCTTATCAGTCAAATATATTTATTGAGAACATTACATTATATAATTAATATTATATATAATTATATATAATTAATATTATGTATAATTAATATGAACTCAAATGGCATAAGCACAAACGAGACGCGAAGTCCCATGCAAGGTGCAAACCCCGAAGCAGCGAATACGTACATAAATATAAATACACACATACATAAAATACAAATATATAAAAGCCGCTTCCCCCTATTAGTATGACCATGAACGCAACCACCTGAATGCTTCACGGATGTGTTAGCAAAATAATTTCAAACTCACAAGCATAATGAATGCTTCACGGATGTATTGCAGGCATAATAATTTCAAACTCACAAGCATAATGTGGTTGCATTCAGTGAACACAATAAGAGGAACCGTCTATTAAAACTACTTAATTAAGATCTGTGGCAGGGGCAGTCCCGCACCAGTGTCCAGGTGCATGGCATGTCCACGTCAAATGTTGCCGTAAGCAAGTTAGCGTAAGTGGCTTTAAGAGATCTTTTGAAGATGGAGAGGCTGGCAAAGGTGGTAGAGGGAAGAATTTTGCAGACGTGGTTCCATAACTTGACAAGCCGGTTGAAATATGAGGATTGAAATGTTTTGGATTTACAGAAAGGAATTTTGAGTGTGAGAGAAGGATTTCGACTAAGTCGTGTTCTGCCATTGTTGACAAATGAAACGAAACTATGCACGTCAAGATCAATATGTCCATACAGTGCCTTAAAAAAGAACACTAAGTCTTTTATTTCTCTCTCGTAGCACAGGGGTAATAAGCCAAGGGTTATCAGCCGCTGCTTATATGCAAATTCATCTTCAGTACATTCACTGCTGAAGATGAATTCAAATTGATTCGAAATATACAAGGTTTTTTTAAATAGATTGTGTATAGCTAGTACTCATACACTCAGGGGCGTAGGAAGCTTCTAAAAGTTGGGGGGGGGGGCAGGCTTTGAGGGGCACTTTTCGGAAAAAAAGGGCATTTAAAAATTTTTTCCCATTTTTTCCGGATATATGACATTTTTCCCGGAAATGAAACAATTTTCCCGGAAATAACATAGATTCAAGTTCTCAAAAGTCCCCTTTGGCAAAAAAATGCAATCTTAATGACAATTTTTCATGCAAAAAAACGGGGGCACTTTGCTCCCGGAAAAAGGGCACTTGGCAAAACTTGCGGGGGGGGGGGCTGCCCCCCCTGGGCCCCCGGTTCCTACGCCCCTGCATACACTCTTCTTTTGGCTGTCTTTCACAGTTTCCGTTTTTATACTAGAGACGCATTATGCGTCTGGACGAACTTGGGCAAGCATTTGTTGTTCGTCTGGTTATGCGTCCTTAGTATAAAGACGGGCACAAGACGCATTATGCGTCTAGACGAACTATGTTCGATTCTTCGTCTTAAGAGACGCACAACCGATGATAGTTCGTCTAGACGCACTTGTGCCCGTCTTTATACTGAGGACGCATAATCAGACGAACAATAAATGTTGATAGTTCGTCGCATTGGCCGTTTTTATACTAGAGACGCATTATGCGTCTGGACGCATAATCCGTCTTCTACATTATTCGTCTAGTATTATTCGTCCCGTCTTTATACTAGACGAATAATGTAGAAGACGGATTATGCGTCCAGACGGGCCAAAAAATACAAAAATATCAAAAATTTAAACGGCCAAAAAATTATTGTCTATTTTCACATGAATTTTTCACGTTGTGAACTTGTGACGACCATTTAACTAACTATGTGGTCAAACAAGATTGGCTGATCACAAATATTCTCGACAATAATGAAAGACAACGATTTTCATTGAGTTTTAAAGGATGAATATATAAAAAAGCGGGTTCTTTTTAAGAGTTCAAAAGACGTGTGAAAATGTAGCTTGAATAAAATATATATAGCAAGAGTCTAGATGTATAATATTGCCGACATGCATGCAACTGTTCTTGTGCTAACCACTTCCAAGGCAAGGCAGTCTGCTATTACTAAAACCTGTCAAACGTTTTTGACAAACATGAAAGTTTCACGTGAAAATAGACAGTGATTTTCTCTGCGACTATTCATCCTTAGACGCAAACAATGGTACTAAAACTATTATAAATACAATTTATTATTATATAAGAGGGGAGGGCTATAAAGTATGAAGTATATAGTGCTTTATAGAGATTTCGAGCATTGATAAAACTGATAATCTCACATGTGAGATTATTTATGATAATTTCACATGTGAAAATTATCGCTTTTCAATTATCGCTTTTCTGTAAAAATTATCGCTTTTCAAAGACTGACCTTTATACAATAAACAGAAAAATACACGGGTGCTTGGAAATACCACTGATTTATTTCTTGTGTTTGTGCGCTCACTCGTGAGATATCATTTTCAACACTCGAAATATATCTGGTATTTCCGCGCATCCATGTATTATTCTCTATATAAAACTCTATATTTATTATTTAATACTGTAATTCAATCATTTTCGCGCGTCTGTTGTCCCATTCATATCACTTCCGCATATTAAGCGCAGACGTCGCTTAGCTGTCAAATTATCAACCAATAAGATCGCTTCGTTTTCCTGACGTCATACTGGCTCGGATTTTGATTGGCTATCCAAGACCTCGTGCATAAAAATCCCGGTTTAGTGACCGCCATATTGTTTTCACAAATCACCGATTGCTAGTGGATTACAGCGAGAAGTAATACAGCACTCCTGATTTTCCCCTTCGTTTATTTGAGGATTTAGGTAAGTTTTTAATGCTTATATAGGTAGAGTAGTATCGTGGGCGCCTTATTGTGTAGATTTTGTAGCTTCTTAGCAGTTACGGGCCGATTTTGGTCCATTTTGCATACACTAGCGCTGGTCGACTGGTCATCCAAAACAGCCGACAACATTTAACACTCGCTCAGCATGCAAACAACAAAGTTTACGTTAGCGATCACAACCAAATACTAACAGCACTCTTTTACCATAATTTTAAGCAAAATAACGGTTTCTTTTTGCAAGAAGTCGTGGCAAAGCGGCGCTTTGAAAATGCATATGTAGTTCAGCGAATGTAACACCTTAACCTCGTGGTCAGTTTCCTTCGAAGTATTGTGTAAATTTACGGCAGGACACGCAACCAGTTGAGCTCAAAAATCCGTTAGGTAAGGCTCTTACAGTAAAAGGGATTTAGATGAAATGAGCACTTGCTAAGCTTAAATAGAGCTTGTAATTTTCGAGTGTCTTTGAGATGCAGTTTTTGTTCGCCGTTCCACTCGGGACATCCTGTTGTTGTTTGCTTTCTGCAAGGCTTCTGTTGGGTGTGTGATTTTGTGAGATGCATTGGTTTGCAATCGGACGTTTTATGCTTTGTGTTACGTTTTGTGGTATTGTGAGTTTGTAAAAGACGGGGAATGATAAAGAAGAATCAAAGAGCTGTTCAAGTTTTGACAAAAGCGTTGTTGTGATTGTTTTTGGCCATGAAGGTGTGTGATAAATGGCGGCCATATTGGATTTCACAGTCAGCCACCTGAACCCGTTTGGAAATATGATACACGTACCATCATTTTTTGAATAAAAGCAACATGCAACTGAATTATTTGAAATTATTTTTCCCTATTTAAAGTTTTGCTAAACCTGTAATTATATAATTTAATTGATGTTTGTAATGTTACTCTGAGTACACACTCAGAGTAACATTACAAACATCAATTAAATTATATAATTACAGGTTTAGCAAAACTTTAAATAGGGAAAAATAATTTCAAATAATTCAGTTGCATGTTGCTTTTATTCAAAAAATGATGGTACGTATCCACACCGGGCAAGCTTCAAAAATATGCCTGGCCACGGTGGAAATTGAAACTACGACCTCTGGAATACTAGCCCAATGCTCTGCCAACTGAGCTACTTGGTGTGGATATACACTCAGAGTAACACCACAAACATATTCACCTGAGTACATAACACCAACACAGAAAACAAACAATTAGTTCTTTGAATGTTTGCATGGCGATAAAATATAATTGTTTTTTTTTGTGGAAACACCACGTAAATTTATTACTGCAAAGCTTTTGATCCGTAAGCCCGGATCTTCATCAGTGCTAATAATATATTATATTATTAGCACTGATGAAGATCTGGGCTTACGGATCGAAAGCTTTGCAGTAATAAATTTACATGGTGTTTCCACAAACAAAAACAATTAAACATTTAATTGATCATAAAGCCTGGTTTCCATTTGTTTCTAACAGTTGTGAAGATTGAGTCACAATCTTTCTCGTCAGCAGAAACACAACATTTTATGAAAATATGTGGAGTGATTATAACTAGAGAATGGGTCATTCCAGAAAACATCCATACCACCCCCACGGAGGAAATAGGAAGTTAACCCCCTTCGGATGTCCTAATACACTTATTATTGGGTCATTCCAGAAAAGATCCATACCCCCCTGTGGAGGAAATCGAAAACAACCCCCTACCCCCCTTCGGACATCCTTGAATGGTTCATCCTCCCCCCCTCTCCGAACATCAAAGCCCAAAATTACCCCCCTCCCCTTCGGACATCCACTATTTCTAAATTTTTCTAAAGGCTACCTCGCCGTTTGAAAACGTCACCGAAAATTAGACTACGTTCACACTACGCGCGAGCGAACTAATGCGGGCAGAATTTACGTGTGTTCACACTACCGCCATTACAGTTTGTTTACAAATTGAATTAGCACTTGTGTAAACCCAAAATATTTCAAATAGACCCAAGAAATTTAACTGAAAAGCATTTGAGTTTACATGTTTGTGTTCACACGAAGCTATCAAGCGCTCCGCCGTTTTCACCTTGTTCCGTTTAGAAACCGTGCTCAAATTGTTACTGCAAAAGTGACGTGAAAATTTTCAAACGATTTCGCTCCAGCATAGCGTGAATTAGCGATGGCTTATTGTGACTTTTCTACAGTGTTTTCAAATAGCTCCGACATGGCGGAACACTTGGCAGCTTCTTGTGACTTGCGAACACAAACACGTGGCAGGTTTTGTCGGATAATTTGCAGAAATTCACTTTGAAATTTGTTCAAGTAAAACTCGGACTGAAATTCGATGTAACTTGCGACTGATTGACAAGCGTTGCTATGTTTACTTACATGTTAATGCATTTTTTAGTATTACTGCATTCCTTAACCTCGCCCTTAATATGAAAGCCATTTCTATTTTCTAGACACGCACCTTGCAAGGAAGCTTTATAGACTATATACTAAAACAAATTGTTTTGAGTTCAGTTCAAATAGCAGTCTCTTAATTCGAGCAACAGTTTAATAACTATTATTTTTAACACTTGAATAATTCAAACATATATACGAACGAAAACTGCAAACTTTACTTTTATATAGATAACACGTGTCAATTTTCGACTCATTCTCAACATGCAGGATACGCTGTTATAGCGAGTTAGTTTTTGGTGGCCATGCATGCAAAAGTGGGCCGCTTATTTTGCTTACGAGTTACGTGGACGTATAATTATTGCTGTTACATAAACGTTCCGGTGTTCAAGAGCTACATATAGCCGATAAAAATTGTGTGCTCATTATAATCGCCGATCACATAGCTTTATCACAGTCTCAAACCTTCAGACAAACATATCCACATTCCTCTCCCCCCTTTGGACATCCTAACACATTTTTCCTCTCCCCCCCTTCGGACATCCTAAGACATTTTTCCTCCCTCCCCCTTTGGACAGCAAAAATTTCCTCCGTGGGGGGGGGGTATGGATCTTTTCTGGAACGACCCATTATCAGAAACAATTTTTTCTCCCCCCTCCGGACAGCAGAAATTTCAGGGGAGTATGGATCTTTTCTGGAACGACCCAATATGTTTGTGGTTTACAGGTATAAACTATTACAAACTGGCCATTGAGAAAGATTGTGACTCTATTTTTACTACCATATGGAAAGCAGATTATAATTGAGGTGGTTAGGCCTCAATGACTTCGGTTCAAAGGTCCATATCGGTAGTTTCACAGCTTTTCAGGCATTTTTAGGAAGGTTGAAAAAATCACTAGAGCAATAGTGCTGTGTTGAGTTTTTGTATAACTGTCATCACTTGGAGATTGCCATTAAAAGGGGTGGGAGGGGGGTTAATTTGGGCAACTTTACAGAGGATTTGCAGCAGTTACTCCATAGGCAGCCCAAAAATGTGTGGTAAAAATTTTTACCCTTGCGCATGGTGCTCGTGCGTGCATGCATGGTGCTTGTGCGTGCATTGAGTGAAGTGAATTCTTCTCTTTTTTTTTGCAAGATTTTATCAAAACCATGCTGGGGTGACCTAGTCTGTGATGATGTCATATTTTTTAAAATTATCGTGACGAAGTGCCGCTTCTTCGAAAATTCCCTGATTCATACTCTAGTAAACATTGTTATAAATTTCCATTATAGGTCTTGTCATAATAATAAACTGAGTAGACTTGATGCATGTCTGAGTGCCATGTGTGAGGGTAAAAATTTTCATCACATTTTTGGGCTGCGTAATTTTCACCACACATTTTTGGGCTGCTATGCATGGTTACTCATGCATGACTTATGCACATTTTGGCATAACAGTCAAACAGGATGTTCTCTTGCGAGCAACATTTTATTGTTCCACAATATTGCAATTTTGATAGGCAGATTGCTCCGAGTAATTTGCAAGCGACACTGACAAATTGCAACTTGAAATTCACAAAAGATTTGTAAGCAAAGCCTCTGATTGGACTATAAGAAAAAGGGAAGCTCTAATCCAGTTGCTCAGACTATTTGATTGGCTTCCTTTTTGCTAATAAATAGTCCAATCAGAGGCTTTGTTTACAAATCTTTTGTGAATTTGCAATTTGTTCACGTCACTTGCAAATTGCTCAGAGCAATCTGCCTATCAAAATTGCCATATTGTGTGGGACAATATTGCAATGTTCATAAGATAACATCCTTTTTGACAGTAAATCTTTCTGAAAAAGAAGTTTGCATTGGAAGTCAAACCATAAATGTATGTTTTCAGGTAGGTAAAGCAAAGTACAGAGATGACAGGGAGAGCAAGAGGACGTTCTCGAGGTCGGGGCCGTACGGGACAACCCCCTCCGGACACACGTCGACCAGGTGAAGATGCTGGCGCATCCCGCGGTCGATCACGAGGAGCCGCTCCTCCAGCGCAAGCTGCCGCACCAACTCAACAGGCTCAAGCACCACCCCCAGCAGCTGCCCCGCCCACCCAAGCCATGGCACAGTTAAGTGTCAGTGAAGGTGGTCGGCCAGAGAGACGTCCCAGATACAACCAGTACCAGGAAATTGAGAGTCGTCCCCAGTGGTGCACAGATAAGCGGGGTACAAGCGGCAAACAGATCTCGTTGGTGTCGAATTACTTCAAACTAAACATGAAGCCAGGTGAGAAATAATGGGTTTTTAGCATATGACAAATGCTTCCCCAGAGCCAAAAAGCAGGTTGTTTGGGGGAAAAGGTGCAAAAGTTATGTTCCAGATTTTTACACAGCGAATTAATCACAGATGAATTTTGACACTAATGTTAAATTTGGTCAAGTAAAACTTAGGCTGTTTTAGAGCAAGTCTGATTCACTCAATCGACCATAGAAGTTGTGTATTAGTTGGGTAATGTATTGGTCAGTTTTATGACCTTGTACTTTAATTAAACAGCTTAAACAGCCATAGGTTATACTGGATAAATTTGACAGCCAGCAAATTTGGGAAGTGCCAGGCAAATACCAACTTAAAATGGTTGTGTTTTGAGATTGGCTTCACAAAACAATAGTGATCAGTGTTTGACTCGTTCTTAGAAAACATAATTTCTATAGTTCATTGTCTTTTTATTGTTATGATCAACCAATCACAAAGCCTGTTCATGTAGTTTGGTGGGGACTAGAAGTGCCCATTATTGAGTGGAAAACATTTGTTTCCTAGATGGTATGATCTACCAGTACAATGTGAGTTACAGCCCAGAGGTTGATAACAAAAAGGTCAGAGTTGCTATGATCAATGGTCAAGGGGAGTTATTGGGCAAGCCTCGTGCTTTCGATGGTATGGTGCTGTTCATGCCCAGGAAACTGGCCGAGACTGTCACCAAGGTTGTGACGCATCGTAAGAGTGATGATTCAGCAGTGGAGATCACTATTACATTGACCAATGAGATACCATCAAATAGTCCATCATGCTTACAGTTGTATAACATCATTTTTCGGAGGTAAGTATGGTGGTGTTTAATAGTAATTGATGGTAGTTATGGTGATGGAATCAAGGTGATTGTGAAAGTGTTGGTAGTTCATGGTAGTATAGTGGTACAGGCATATGTGGAGGTGATGGTTGTGGTGGTAGTGGGTGATAATGATGGTGATGGTGGTGGGTGATAATGATGGTGGTAGTAGTAGTGGGTGATAATGATGGTTGTGGACTTGTGGTAGTGGGTGATAATGATGGTGGTGGTAGTGGGTGATAATGAAGGTGGTGGTAGGTAATAATGATGGTGGATGTGAAGATGGTGGTTATGTAAGATTGTGACGAAGGTGGTGGTTGTAATTATTTGGTAATGATGTTGATGAAAAATATTGAACTTTTCTAGAATCCTTTCAATGTTGGACATGAAGCAGATACAAAGACACTATTTCAAGCCTGATTCTCCCATTCCTATCCCCAAGCACCAGTAAGTGTATCATCTATGAAAAGTAAACTTGTTTAGAATAAAATAATGTAGCATGGCTTCATGAGTAAATTTGAATTGAAGTAAATGTGATTTGACCATGCACTTCTTGTTTGTTTTAGTTTGGAATTATGGCCAGGTTTTATCACGTCCATTTTGCAATATGAGCAAAGCATCATGTTGTGTTGTGAAGTGTCACACAAAGTCCTTCGAAAGGAAACTGTGCTAGAGTTCCTTTATGACTTGAAAGAGAAGCTCGACAAACGAAGATTCTATGATGAAGCCACCAAGAAAGTTGTTGGTGAAATTGTCTTGACAAGGTGTGTATAGCCCGTTCTCCACTAGGCGAATTTATTCGCGCGGACAGATAAAAAGTAGGAAGCAATCCTACTTTTTCGCCGCAAATTTTTTTGCCGACCAATCATGTTGCCGGATTTCGGTTTTCGCTTCGCGTCGTGCGAACAAATTCGCGTAGTGGAGAACGGGCTTATGTCATCTTGACAGATTAACAGAGTTGTAGACTCGAGTCGTGTGACTTGGACTCGAGTCGCAATTCTTGTGACTTGACTTGTTAAAGAGACTGATGACTTGTGACTTGACTTGGACAAAATGACTTGTGACTTGACTTGGACTTGCAAGAAATGACTTGTTACCAACGCAAGTCAAACGTAAATATCTAGTGAAAATCAAGTTTTCCAAAATCTTTGTGTTGATCGATCGTCGTGTTGTACAATTTGGGCAATGACCTTAGTACATATCAATGGCATCGACAGAATTTGTGCCGGCATATTTTCTGAGAAAGCGGGGGGGTTCGCGATTTTGTGGTAAAATTTCTGACATAAAATAACGACGCCATATTTACATATTTTGCCGTTTTGCGTGGGAAAACATGGCCACATGTGGCGATAAAATGACTTGTGACTTGACTTGAATTGAATTGCCACTCGGAATGACTTGTGACTTGACTTGGATTTAGACAAAATGACTTGTGACTTGACTTGAACTCAGACCAAATGACTTGACTTGAACTTGCAACATAGGACTTGTTAACAACTCTGCAGATTAATTTAACTCTAGATGGTAGTCCATTTCAGAAATGTTGACTCTAAAAGCTGTAAGAATATCGGAATACAACCTCTCAATTCCATTCATTTGCCTCCATATATATGTAATTTTATGAGAAAATAAATAGCGAGTACTCCGAATTTAGCTTGTTTGTGATTTTCAAGGTACAATAACAAGACATACCGTGTTGATGACATCAACTGGGACAGTCACCCTGGTGATACGTTCGAATTGTATGATGGATCAACCATTACCTTTGCTGACTATTATAAGAAGGTAGAGTACAGTTATGTCCAAGTTGCACATTGGCAGTTAAAAGATAGAATTCCAAGTAATTATTTACTGCCAGAGAACATGCTTAAGTGAATTTCCTTTCTTTCAGCAATATAATAAAGTGATTCAAGACCCTCATCAACCTCTGTTGGTGACCAAGCCAAAGAGAAAGTTTGGACCAGGGGGTAAAAAGGCTGACGACAGACCAATTCTACTTTTGCCAGAACTGTGCTACATGACTGGTATGTTGTTGATATTTTTTGATCAGATGGTGATGGTATTTTATGATCAGATGGTTGGTATGATCAGATGGTGATGGTGATGATTGTGGTGGTATGGTATAGATGATGATGAGGGGGGG